ATTTTGAATAATAGCCTTGCTGGATACTGTAGGCTTGGATTTAGGCCCTTGCTTTTCATTACTTTGAGTACTTTATGCCAATCCTTTCTTGTCTGAAGTGTATCTATTGATAAGTCAGCTGACATTCTGATGGGCACTCCTTTGTAGGTAATTTTCTGTCTCTCTCTTGCTGCCTTTAAGACTCTTTCTTTGTCTTAACATTTGCAATTTTAATTCTGATGTGTCTAGGTGTGGGTCTCTTTGGGTTCATCTTGATTGGGACTCTCTGTGACTCTTGAATTTGTGTGACATTTTTCTTCACCAGGTTGGAGAAGTTTTCTGTCATTATTCCTTTAAACAGGTTCTCTGTTCCTTGCTCACCCTCTTCCCCTTCTGGTATCCCTGTAATGTGAATGATGTTACATTTCATGCTGTCCCAGAGCTCCCTTAAACTATCTTTCTGCTTTTTAATTCTCTTTTCCATTTGCTGCTCTAATTGAGTATTTATTTCTACCTTTTCTTCCAAATTGCTGATTTTATCCTCTGCTTCACCCAATCTACTTTTAATACCTCCCAGTGTGTTCTTGATGTCAGATATATCATTCTTCATTTCTGTCTGGTACTTGTTCATGGCCTCTATTCCCTTTTCATGCTGTTATAATTTATACTAAGTTCCTTAAGCATCTTTATAACCATCGCTTTGAACTCTATGTCTAGTAGGTTATTGCCTCCACTTCATTTCATTCTTTTTCTGGAGAGTCCTTCTTTTTTCTCATTTGGGGTTGCTTTTTTGTCTCCCCATTTTAACTGTCTCTCTGTATATGCTTTATGTATTATATAGAACTGTTATGTCTTTCAGTCTTTGTGGGATGGCTTAATGTAGAAAGTGTCTTGAGGGTCCAGTGGTGCAGTCTTTTTGTTCATCTGAGCTGGATGCTATAGAAATGCCCCCTGTGTGTGTTATTATGGCTCTCTTATTGTAATTGAAACTTGATTGTTGATGCCCCATTTGTCGGAAGGATCTCCCGTCCAACTTGTTGCCAGTGAGATTCAACCCCAATATCATTGTGCCAGCTGTTATACAGATGCTGACAGAACAGAATAAGACACAACAGGGCCAAACCAGAAACACCATGAAAATCAAGCTACTCAATGCAGCAACAACAGGAAAGACTAAGAAGGAAAAAAAGACAAAGAAAAGCAAAGAAAAAATAAAAAGAATACTAAAAGACACGTGCAAAGACTCAGAGGGGATATAAAAAAAAGGGAGAAAGAAGAAGACAGAAAAATGGCTATATAGAAGTAAGGAGGAAGCTAAAAGCATTAACATAGGAGGAAAAAAGAAGAGAAAAAAAATAAATGAAATAATAATAATGTAATGAAAATATAGTAATAATAGGTATATTAAGATATAGATAGCCCTGACCGGTTTGGCTCAGTGGATAGAGCGTCGGCCTGTGGACTCAAGGGTCTCAGGTTCGATTCCGGTCAAGGGCATGTACCTTGGTTGCGGGCACATCCCCGGTGGGGGGTGTGCAGGAGGCAGCTGATCGATGTTTCTCTCTCATCGATGTTTCTAACTCTCTATCCCTTTCACTTCCTCTCTGTAAAAAATCAATAAAATATATTTTAAAAAAAGATATAGATAGAAAAAGTAAAGGAAAGAAATGTGAGTAAAGAGAAAAACAAAATAAAATAAGAAAAAATTAATAACAACAGTAAGAATAGGCTAAAGTAGAATAGAATCAAAGAGAGAAATTAGAGATATGCAAGAAAGAAGAAGAAAGAAAAAAAGGGGGTGAACAAACAACCAAAACAAAACAAACAAACAAAAATACACACACACACACACACCAAAAAACAAAACCACACACACATTTACACACTCAAAGACTTTTGGGTTTGCTATTTGTGGGGCACTGGATTTTGCTATGATGTTGTTGAATCTGGTCCCTTGGTGTATCTACCCTGGGCCTCCTGGCAGCTGCTCTAATTCAGATGAATGTGAGTCACTGTCCCTCTCTGGCCCTGGGCAACCTGATTGAGGTCAGAGAGGTTCAAGCCCCTAGTAATCCAGTGGTTGGGGACTCCTTAGCCCAGAGGCTGGGTATGCCTTTTGTCTCACACCTTGATCGTCCTTGTTCTGTGCTGTGCTCCTTTCCCCAACGGGGCTGGTCTCGCAGGTATCAGTTGCAAGTGCAAGGGTCTCACTGGCGTTTGACTCACCAAGTGGTCTGTGGCAGTGACCAAGGCTAGTCTGGGTGGTGTGAGGCTGGGCTCCTAGCCGCTTCAGCTCCCTGCTTCAAGATGGTATGGCTTCTGAGCCAGAGCGCGCCTGCCCAGGGAGTGCCTGTGGTCCTAGCTGGGGAGCCTGAACCACCTGCCCCTGAGACTCCTGCAAGATTTGACACACTCTCTCTCCTCTCTCTCTCTCTCTCTCTCTCTCTCTCTCTCTCTCCTGTCTACACACTTCCCTCCCACTCCCTTATTTACTCACACTCTCTCCAACACTCCAGTCCTGCCAGCTGCCATATTGGAATCCTCCTGAAGTTAATTCTTATAGTTAGTGAGCCTGAGGATTTACCCCACACATGAATGGGCCAACAGCAATCAAAACTAAATTACAACAGGAGGGCCCACATAACCCTCAAGGGGATCATTCCTGGAGCAACCAGCAAAGATGATCAAGAAGACTGTGCCATGGGGTCCCACAGGACACCTACTAGATAAATAGAGTTTTGGTGGTGTGAGGCCGGACTTGATTCTTGTGAATATGGATATGCAAATGTTCTTAAGGTCTACTCTAGTGAGGGATGCAGCTGAGATGGAAGAGAATGGGAACAAAAAGTGGGCTGCGGACTAGCTTCCAGGTCTCTTTGTTCCACCACATTCTGAAGCAGATGTCCAAGAAGTCAGGAAATTTAAATTCAAATGGAGATTTTCAGGTGGTAAAGAAAGTGCATTTGTCAATGTCAAAGATTAGACTATGTTTTATTTAAGTTTGTAAGCTTGATTTATAACTTTTAAATATTTAGATATGTGCTATGTAGACTTCCATTTGCAATCTTGCCCTCATACATTAGGAGTAGGTTATAAAGATCTCCCTGCTGTGAGTCTTGAGCTTCCCTCCTGTTTCTTGACACTCACTGCACTTCTTGGGTGATAATTAACTTGTTTTATTATCTGTCTACTCTGATTGACACAAAGCTATGCGAAGTAGGAACCAGGCTGTCTTGTTTACAAATATATTTTTATATTAGGGCAATGATTGACACATATTTAGTGCTCACTAAATATGTCTAAAACTCTAAAATGATACATGACTTACACATTTGAGGACAGCAAGTAGAAAAAAGAGAAGTGTTAGAAGGGAGTGAAGTAACCTGAAAAGAGACTGCCTGGATAAATTATGACAGAGATTGAGCACAGTCTATAAGTTTTTCTTCCAGTTGGGGAGAGCAGCAAACCCACAACTTCTATTGCCATAAGAACTACAACTGAAGTAATCTATTCATTCTAAGCTTTAGGTGTGTGTGTGTTTCTTCCCTTTTACATAATTGGACTGGGATCAGCTATTTCATAGTGAGGGCCTAGAGTCTTTAAGCTACTGATTCACTGAAGTGCATTAAAAAATGTAAATCTACATATAAAAATGAATGGATTTTTCTTGAATAATTGGACCTTTGGCAAGACTGGCTCACAGTCCAATATGGCCACAGTGGTCTGAAGCCTTTAAATGGGCCTGTGTTTATGAACAGGCCACACCTCACCACTCACAAAACAAATGCCCCAGACATAGCCTGGCCACCAAAGGTCTCTGAATTCATGACCCCTGAACCTCTGGCTTTATAAGGCCCGTTTGTTTTGAAAGAATGTCTTCTTTAATCTCTTCATAGTTTTATTTCTACCAACTTTTGAATGGCCCCAGTCATCTGGATTGTACTATAACATTGCATATCTGCTTATATCTGCCAGAGATTCTGAAACTGAATTATTTTACATATAATCAAAGAAGCTCGCCTATTCTAGAAAGCAACTTTCTATTAGTGTTACGGATCCAAATTTCCCTTGATCATTCCAATAATCCTAAGGGGAGATGCTTGACTGCTTCCTGAAAGCTAAAGATTAAGGATGGTGATTCAGGGCTGGGGACACTGAAATACAGGAACTGCCAGAGTGAAAGTTGCAGAATCGGGCTTTGATGAATGATGAAGAAACTGAGAGATGCTAGAGCACTAATTTGTTCAAGTATTTATTGAGTGTGCCTAGCACTGTTTTGACACAAGGGATTCAACAATAAACCAGCCAATGTCCCTGCTTTCATTGAGCTTAATTCTCGTGTAGTAAACCAAATAACACACACATATATTACATACATATACATGTACATGTACATGTCAGGTGGAAATAGATGCTATTTATAAAACAAAAGCGCAGCCAGGAACAGCCACTAAGGGTGGCTGCTATTTTGGGAGACTGGAGACCTCTCCCGCCTCTTGCCAATCGGGTACAAGATGCCACCTCCGGGGAAGCTCCTCCCACGTCCCCGCCCAGAGGCGGTCTCGGGGGCGGAGCTTCGAGCCCAGCATCCAGAAGCGCGCGCTTGGGTTTCCCGGCATCCCCTCGTGCTGTCAAGCCCGGAATCTCCCCCGCCGGACGTGGCATGCTGGGAACTGTAGTACCCTTCTGCAGCTCAGCGTCGCCGGGGAGCAGTAAAAGCCGCTGGCTCCATTGCTGGGCCATAACTAGCAGAACCGAGGCCCTGGGGCGGCGGGTTGGGGTCACCCCGTAAGGCCAGGCACATCCTGCCAGGAAAGCGTCCAGGCCCTGGAGCCGCCCCGGGCACGTGACAGCAGCCTCCCGAGGCGCGCTCGGTTTCTCAGCGCCGGTCCCGCCCTGCCCCGCCCCACCCGGCAGTCGGCCTGCGCCGGCCCTGGCGCTGCTGCCACCTCGCGCTCGGAGGCGTCACGGAACGTGCTCTCCTCCCCCCTCCCCTTCCCCCTTCCCCTCCCGCGCTCCTCCACCTCCCCCTCCCGCACCGAGACTCGCCGCCGCCGCCGCCGCAGGAGTAGCCGCCGCCGGAGCCGCGCGCAGCCATGGCCGAGAACCCTGGCCTGGAGAACCACCGCATCAAGAGCTTTAAGAACAAGGGCCGCGATGTGGAAGTGAGTGCACTCCCTCGATCTGGGTCCGCCTGGCCGCGCCGGCCCCGCGGCGGCGGGGAAGGGCGGGGGGCCGGCGCCGGGAGAGCGCTCGCCGGCTCGCGGTGGGTCAGAGTTGGCCGCCGCCTCCCGTCACCGGGCCCAGGGCTGGGCGGAGCAGGCGCCGGCACGGGGACCGGCTGCAGCCTCCCCTCCGGAGCCGCGGGCGCGCGGGCCGGGAAATGCCGTGGTTTTCGGCCCCGTCATGCGGGCGCGGCCTGCTGTCCGCGAGGAAGGGATGTGGAGCTGAGGCGGGTCCGCCGGCTGGGGCCTCGCGGGTCCGGGATGCTGCCGCGCGGGTCGGTCAGCCGCTCCGCCGAGGGGGTGGCCGCGGCTCGCGCCCGTGGCCGGCGCTCCCTCCCGCCGGCGCAGCCCCCTCGCTGCCTCCCGCGCTGCCGCACATGGAGCCTCGGCTCTGCGGGTCCCCGCGCCTACCTTCTGCGAGCTGGGCCCAGGCGGGCGGCGGCGCCCGCAGCGGGGGGTGGGGACCAGCCGGGTAGCTGACTGGTTTGAGGGTGGGGGGCGGGGGAGGGGAGGATGCGCCAGGACCATTTTCTTCTATTCCAGAGCTGTCCTTTGGACCAGTCGTGCTGAGCTGTTCCAGCTCATGCTCCTGTGACTGCTGGCATTTGGAGCAAGCTGAAGGTGGACAATAGTTGGCCATCTATTGTGTTGAGGCTTTAGAAGAGACATTGTTCCGACCCCCGTTCACAGGACCTGTTTTCTTAGCATTTCTTGTTTGTAATGGGGGTGCACGTAGGATTATTTCTTTGACATGTTTTACTGGAATAAATGGAATACATAGGTTTATACGGCCTTGGATATGCCTCTTGCTCCAAGCTGGTAGAATTTCGATGTGGTTACAAAACTGTAAACATTAATGTGGTCACTCAGTTCGTTGCTACACAGCATGTTGCCATTGTCTCATTCAGGTGACATAAGCAGGTACTATTTGCAAACTCGATTTATTAAGGCAGCGCTAGAGGTCTCTTTGCAGCTACTAGAAGCAATGTAATATAATGCACAAACTTCATTGGGACTGTGACCTCCGGATTTGTTAGGGGGGAAGTAGTTTTAAGTCCACAGCCTCCTTTTCTAATACTAGGTGACATGATTTGCAGTTTTGTCATTCTTGCTAAGGGCCAGTGTGAATAAGAAATGCATTTTATTCTCTCTTAAAGAAGGAAATATACCATTTAGTGTAGAAAACAGGCAAAACTCAGGCCATTTTTCAGAGCTATAAATTTTCATACTAATTGGAAAACAACTAAGGAAATACTGTGGAATTCACATTTGAATGAGACAAATATAGGTCATCTGTCTCTGTCCTGGTCATGGTTGTTACTTTTGTGAGAAATACTCCTAAGCAAAAGGACAGTTATGAATAGCAGCAAGAAATTTTGAAACTGCCTCCTGTTATTGGTCCACTTGATGATAGGAATTAATTTTGAACTTTCTCTGTCCGTAATTGTTCTTGAAGCTTACCCCTATTATAAAGCAAAACTTACATAGTTTGAAAAATACCCATATTGTTTATACAGAACTCTTTCTTCTTGAATATTGAGACAGGTTTTTGTCTTATTATTTGCCCCTACTTTGTTCTGGGAGCTCAGTGATACCTTGTAAAAACTCCTGCACATAATAGATACATAATACATACTTACTGATGACCAGAATGTAACCAGTGACTTCTAGATTAATGACTGCTAACTAAGCCTTTCAGTCTGAAAATATTAGTCACAACAACATTACATTTCCCAGGATACATACATTAGGGTAACTAAGGCATGAAATAACAGGTATTCAAATGGTAGTTCTATGTGGTAGACACTATACTAAGGCTTTATGATACCTCATTTAATCCTTATAACAACTTTATGAGCTAGGTATAGCATTATTCCCACTTTACAGGATGAAATTACTTTAGATGGGGAAACTCAAGTAAGTATGCACCCTGCACAAGGTCACAGAGTGTGGACATTCATTCACTAATTGTCTTGGGTATCTAACAATGTCAAGTCTTGGGGAAGGAAAAGGGAATAAAATTGAGCCTGTATCTCAAGGAGTTTACAGTTCAGTAGGAGTGATAGAAAAGTAAACTGATAATTACAATGCAGTTCATCAATATGTGTATTCTGAGAATGCATAAGAACCTAACTTGGAGCTGAATGGTCCAGGGAGATGTTCTAGTTGATTCCTAGTGGATGAATGGAAGTGAGTAGATCCTGAACAGTGAAAGGATGTTGGCCCGGAAAGGGAGAGGGCCAACAAGAAGCATTCCAGACTTAAGGAAACAGTAATTGAAGTGTCCTGGGAGATTGTAGTAAGACTGCTGAGAGAGAAGGGAGTGCTGGAGATGTGACTATAGGGTAATCTGGAGTCAGATCTGATCAAATGCCTTTATTGTGAATTTAGGTATAACTAAACTAGACACCATATCTAATTTAGTCTTATCCATTAGAAATTATATTACATTCAAAACATACTATACTGTAGCTCCATGACTAAGTAGTTGAGATTATCAGGCTTGTTTCAAAATAGTGAAATACGCTTTGATGAGATATCATTCCTACTTTTTCATGTATAGCATAGACGAAAGATAAAGCATTGTAAATAATACAACGAGCTGATATACAAAAAAAGATGCTAGGTGCAAGAATAAAAGACATATTTTCTAAAGAAAATAAAAATGTAGAGTTATACCAAGGAGTTGTGAGTGGGGAAAGGTAATTTCATTCACTCAGGAATGGCTTCATAGAAGAGAGGTTGGTGACTTTTGTAGGAAATATGCCCTAAACTTGCACAGGGCACATGAGAAATTAGTGAATAAAGATCTGTTGAACTATTAGATAGTTCAGGTGAAAAAAGAAGAGAGTGAAGAGATGAGACTGGTGGTCTGAGAATATGTCTGTGGCAAAGAGCTGCTTAGAAACTTCTTGATAGGGAGATCTGAAGGAATTTATTTTAGAGTAGAGGGTATAATATGATTAGAACAATGGGAAAAAGTGGTGCAGTCATATCAAGAATTCTGGAGTCATAGTGCTGTTATCCTGAATACAATGAGGAATTTTCTAAAATATTGAGGTGGGGGATGGTCATGGTCATAATATGGAATGAAGATTTGCATCTCCTCCTACTGTTTCTCCTGTCTCTTCCTCTTCTGTGTAAAGTGCACAGAAGATGAAGAGAATAAAGATTATCCTGAACTTTATAGGGGAGGGAGTAATTATCACTGATAGCAGTTTGAAACTTGGATAGGGAGAATGGATTTTGTAGCTAAAACTAGGAAACACATAGTGAAAATAATTACTTTTATTTGGTCTGGAATGTGCATTTTAATACCAGACATTTTCATGTAAGGCATTGGTTCTTAGGCTTTTTTCTTTTTTAAAAAATATTTAAACTTTAAAATATATTTATAGAAAAGTACACAAAACAAGTGTTCCATTTAAGACTAAGTATTCACTTGTAACTCACACATTTAGATAACCACCATCTAGGTCAACTTTTTCTTTCTTTTACCTGTGTATACAAGGATGTGATATTTTCATAAGTAATGATAAATAATAATAATTTTTAAAATCTTAACATTTATTGACTGTTTACAATGCACCTACACCAAGTGCTTTATATGTGTTATTGTGTTTAGTCTTCGCAACAATCCTCTGAAGTATATACTATTGTTATTTACATTTAGAAGGAAACTTGAGGCCTGCAATTCTTAAGTAACTAGCCCTAAATCACAGGGTAGTAAGTAGCAGAGCCTAGACTTAAAGTGAAGTAGCATGACACTAAAGTCAGAACTCTTGCTCACTGTGTTAAACTGTCTCTCCATTGAGTGGAACCTAAGACTTGACCTATGTGAAAGTTAATTTAAGGAGAAAATATGTAAGAAAGTTTGAATATATCACAGAAATTCCAATTTTGGCATTTTAAAACCTTGCTAATAAAAATGTTTGACATCCTATTTATCATTTGATTTATTTGCTTTTTTTTTTCTTTTTACTCTTGCAAACGTTCCTTATTAGTTAGGAGCCAGTTGGTTGGTTTCAATGAAAAATAGTAACCCATTTTCTTGGGCTTAACACATAAACTTTATCCTATAGTTTCTAATACTAGCTGTATATATATGTATATATTTTCTCATTTGCAGATTCAACTAGCACTAGCAAACCTGCTTCTCTCTCTGGAACCTCTGTTGGTAGAGGGTACTATCTAATAGTTCAAGCTTAAAACTTTATCCTTGACTCCCTTCCTTCACTTTTCTGAATTAGTCATCTGACTAGCCCTCGTATTTTTACTTTTATTGCCAACCTTACTACCACTGCCCTAATTTAGCCCCTGTCATTCTCACTCATAAAAGTGTGATAGTACACCTGGTTTTCTTGCCTCTGATATCTTCCTGCCTCAGTGTATCTTGTGGATTGATCTTTCTTTGCGTAATTTTCCTGGTAAGATTATTCCCATTGCCTTCAGGATAAAATTAAAAGTCCTTAGCATGCCACACATAATTCCACAAAAGGCCCTATTTTTTCTACCTCACCTACCCCTACCACTTTTCCTTATAGCTCCTTTGTGCCAACCATGATATACTAGTAGTATTTGAGATGGTGAAGTAACCAGCACAGTTTCCTCTCCATGCCTCTGTACATGCTATTCACCTATATACCTTCTTTTGCCATCTCTTTAGTGGGGCTCACTCTGGCAAACTCAGATTCCCTCATATATCTCTGGAACACCAAGATCACAATTCTGCCACATCATGCCATTCTAGTTCACAACTCTTAAGTTCCCCATAGGACCTTTCCTGGTTGACTAATAACATACCTATTATTATTAGTTCCTTTTCTTTTCCTTCTCTCTAATAATTTCCTCAGTAAATTTTCCTTTGCCTCTTTGGGATAAATTGCTGTGACGTACAACAAATTTTTTAAAAGTATGTGGGCACTGTTAAGCTCACTGAG